GCTTTGGAAAAACTATTTGTTTGCCCAGGAACATAGAAGATTGGATTCTAGAATGTTTCTACGGGTGGAACTTGTAAGGCAAGGCTAAAGTTTTGTGGAAATGTGCTTTCAGAGCTTTGTTATGGAGCATTTGGTTGGAAAAAAACCTTTGCTCTTTTGAAGATAAGGCTAGGTCTTGGGATTCTTTTTGTAATAATGTTCATTTGCTAGCTTCATGGTGGTGTCATAGAAATATCCTCAGCCTTGTCCTTAGGCTGTTCTTTTGTCTCTTTTCTTCATGAATTTGTTTCTTATCACAAAAAAAAAAATGGTACCGAAAATTTGAAGTCTGTAGGGGTTTACAGATGGTACGTTTCTGACTCTCCTTTATGTTGTGGTGGCTAAAAACGTCAATTTGGGATGCAACTTGGGGAAGATCTTGAGAATATAAGTCAAGGCTACAATCCTTTTTTGAGTGAAATCCAAAAGTAAAAATCCATGTGGGTTTAGTTCCAAAATGACGGTATCCATTATGGACATATGGATACGTCTATTGTTGTAACACTTAGAACTAGTATAGGTGTAGATTATCAACTGTCACTGTATTACCTAATTTTCATCAGCATAGTTCTAAAATGGCTTTCACATATTTAACTCTGCTGTGAGTATTGATTGTTTCATGAAGGTGGTGATAATTTATTGACAATTTTGTTTAAATTAACTAACATGATTAAAATCTTTGTTATGGTAAATGAGGTTCTTGTTAATCCTGTTATGATCTGGCTAATGGCTTTATGACTAAAATAATCAATGCCCCTTAGAATCTGCATCCAAATGCTTCTATCTCTATTTTCCAATTTTATGATGTTCGATATGCATATTTTTCCCTCTATATTCAACCTTATTCTGTTTCTTCTGGAAATTTTAGACCCGCTTAACCATATGCGAGGGGCATGATGGAACCGAGACGTCGAATGGGGATGTATTAATCTTTCCAGACATGATAAGATATAGGTTAGTAGTGTCAGTTACTGGCTCAACTTAAACTTCATTTTGATAAATTCCTTGCTTATCATCCTTCACCATGACGATGGAGACTCCTTGTTTGAGAGATTAATCATACTGAATACGTTTATGAACAAATTGCAGGAGGTTGACCCATTTTGATGTTGAAACATTTGTTGAAGAAGTGCTTGTGAAGAATGGTGAGTGGCAGCCTGGAACTCCTGAAACGCTGAAAGGTTCTTATATTTTTGTATGCTGTCATGGGTCTCGTGATCGCCGGTGTGGCGTTTGTGGCCCTACCTTGGTCAGTCGGTTCCGAGACGAGATAAAATTTCTTGGTCTTCAAAATGAAGTATCTGTTAGCCCATGCTCACATATTGGGGGCCACAAGTATGCAGGAAATGTCATTATATTTGGATCAAATGCCAATAGAGAAGTCACTGGGCACTGGTATGGAAGCGATATCTATCTGATGATTCATTCGCTCTTCATTGATATTTCTTCCCAAATTTTGATATCCTGATTATTTATCCAGAACTCCTTTGCCCCAGATGCCTGTTTCGGTAACACGTCTCTTGATTTATTTTCAGGTACGGATACGTTTCCCCCGAAGATGTATTTTTGCTGCTTCAGCAGCATATCGTGAAAGGGAAGATTGTAGATGAACTCTGGAGGTATTTGTTCTTTATTTGCACGAATAACTCTTCTAAATGTTTGGCATGTTCGGCAAGTGTTGTTGTAGATTAAAACTTGATTGTGATCACTTAGTTTATCTACCTTGTCCTAAGTCATCTTTGCCCTCCATATTGATAACAAGAAGGTAAATTTTGCATCAAGATATTTGATCTTGGTTAGTGCATAGAGCTAGATGGATTTACTTTTGATGTATTGTATTGAAATCACGGTTAAATTACCATTTTAGTCCTTATGAGCGTGGCAAAGAGAGGCGTTTAATCAAGACCATAAAGATCAAATAGAAACTTTTAGAACTAAAAGGGTTAATTTGAAATCAAGCATAGGTTCCGAGGCCTCGCATGGTAATTTAATCTAAAATTATTATTTAAGATTCAGTTTTAATACTATTTTATGAATATTCACTCAGAGGGCAGATGGGTTTATCAGAAGATGAACAAAAGCTGAGCCTAGAACGAAGGCTCCGTCTGATTGCTGGAGCGAATGGCCACAAAAGCAAGGAAGAGTTGGCACAAATACAGACAAGTGATTCGAATACCGATCTCTATAGATCACATGGTGAGGTTTCAGCCTGCTGTCAGGGGGGTGGAGAGAGTTACTCAACTTGCTGTCAGAATCCCGAACTAATGGGATCAATTACCGATTCGGATACGAATGACATTCCTCCAAACATTACTGCAAAGAGCAGCAGAAAAACGACCTCGAGAAGCAATAGCGGCAAAGTGGCCTCTCGCAAGGTTTGCGCAATGCCAACATGGCTTGAGAGCTGGGAGCGCGAAGATACATATGCTGTTGCTGCTGTTATCTGTGCTGCTGTGTCTGTTGGCATTGCTTATAGCTGCTACAAGCAGCTGTAAATGTAAAGGGTAAAGCTTCAACCTTCATATTCTTAGTTTTTGTTTGTGTTTACGAAATCTCGAATCGCTCGGTAGACGAGCGAAAGATGTATGAATTTAGGATAATCTTTGGTTTTTTTTTCCTTAGGAGATCTTATAAATTAAACTTGATGTATGTCACAACTTTGATTGCAGATGAATGGAAATTGAATTGAGTTCTTTTTGTATGAGTGGCGACAAACTTTAGCCTACACTCACCCACCCTATTTGGATAGTGTATTTCAACTGATAGTGATGTCTCGATTTTATGAAAATATTAATGGAAATATCAATGTTAATGAAATATTTTTAGAAAAATCATAAAAATATAAAAGATTTATATCAGTTGAATCCTAGTCTCTTTAGAATTTACATAAGTTGAATCCATGGATTTACATAAGTTGAATCCTAATGTGCTCAGGAGATGTAGACGGGGTGGGTCTCATGTTGCATTCAGGGTCGAGACCAAGTCAACTTGGATCGGGCTGCATGGAGGTTGGGGAGAACCGATGAAATTCTCAGCCATTGGGTCAAGAACTCCTCGGCACCAAGGTCTCAGCGTCGAGCAGTGCTCGGCGCCAACCCCGGGTCGGCTATGGTTGCTAGGCCTCGATCTACTTACCTTGCTTCGGGTCTGCTCCTTCGGCTCCGTTCCTTCTTTCAGTTGTTTAGTCCGATCTCTATTTTCTTCCTATAATAAAAAGAATTGAATATTTCATTTTGAGCTAAATATTCTTATATGATATTTGTCTCAAATATTATATAAATTTTAAAAAAAGTAATTAAGATAATATATTTGAATTATTGTTATTAAAAAAATAGGAGAAAATATTTTAACAAAGATGGTAAATTTTTTATAAAATTTTAACCTACAGTAATTTGAGTTACTAATTTAAAATCAAAAACATTTTAAATAAAAAACACAATAATACTAATTATAAAAAAAATATTAACAAATAAAAAAACAATAATATAGCAATTATAAAATTAAAGAAATAAAAAAATAGTAACAAAAATAAAAAATAAAAACTAAATCAATACATGTTTTGTAAAATAGATTTGACTTGTTAGACATAAACCATTATTTTTAACTTAATCAAAGTAAAATATCAACAAAAATTAAGGTATAGTTTTGATATATAAATTTCACTCCGATTTAAACTTATCAGGTATGCCTTGAGTTATTTTCAAAATTAGAGAGACTTTAAAAGCAAGAAATTGAGAGAGAATTAAAATTAAAAAAAAAAAATTGTAGCTCAAAGAGATGGTAAAAATGGTAGAAGAAAATTCCTATTTATATAAAATATAAGTGGATGATGGAAAAGTTACAAATGTTTTGGAATTCTAAAAGTTTTAAAATCTATTATGAGTAAAAATTATTAAGAATCTTTTTATATATTCCAACCTCTTAGATTTTAATTAATTGATTGATTTACTACTTGCGATTAATTTTTATGACATATTTTTATAAATTTATAAATTAAGAAAAGATATATGATTTTTTGTAGATCTTAATCTCAAATTAATTAATTTTAATTTGTTTTGACGATAACAAATTTAATTTTATTATTTGGTAATTTTTATATTTTGAAGTGTCACAACGTAGAGGTCAATACAACGATTCCAATAACTTTTGAATTATCAAAATCCAGAGCTCAAGAGAAGAAGTTATAGTGGAATGAAGTTGAAAGGAAAAATGTTGAGTTATCCAAACATACCAATAAAAAGTTGACGCATGGCATGATATTGAAAGAATTGAAATATAAAAAAAGAACCAAACAAGAGATGAAAAAAAAAGATGGGGTAAGTAAAAAATAAATTTGATTTCAAATCAATTTCAAAACTATCCTCATCCTGTTTAAACTCCTGTTCTCAAAATTTATACAACAATTTTCTCCCCATTTTCCAATTCATACAAAATTTGTAAGCAGAAATTTGTATATCTACTATTTGAGAGAGTTTGGTGAGATTGTACTCAAATTTTAAATTCTTTGTAAAGGTTTCTCTTGAGCCAAACGTGAAAAGGATCGGGTTCATTTTTGCTTCGTAAAAAGAATGTTGTACCGATTAGACTCTAAACCGTGAAAAGAGTCAAATTCTTCAATTGAACATCCAAGAGGAGCTTGGGAAGTGGAGTAGGCTAGTGTTGCCGAACTACTATGTCATTTTCTCTATCCATATCCTATTTAATTTTAGCAATTAATTTTCTTCATTATAAATTACATAAAATTAATTACTAGAGTTTATTATTCATGTTTTATGTGCAATATTTACATTGAAATTAATTAGAGTACTTGAAATTTTATTTCTAATTTATGTTAAAATTATTTGTTTATAAAAAGTTTACTTATTTATTTAAATTCGACTGACAGTACTAAAAAGTTTATAAATTGTCACTAAACCTATTCACCCTCTGAAACTAAAAAAAACGGTAGCTTAGGTGAAAAATTATAGAATATTTATATAAGTGGAAGATGAAAAAGTTACAAATATTTTGGAATTCTAAAAGTTTTGAAATCTATTGTCAGTAATTATTAGTGAAAATTATTAAGCTTTTCATAAATTAAATAATAAGATTTTATATATTTCAACTGTGTAGATTCCAAGTAGTTGCTAGGGTTGATAATTAATTAATTAATTATTGATAATTAATTGACCACATATTTTAGGAATTAGTAATTAGTTTATCGGCCTTAAATGTTGTAGGGTTAGACAGTTGTCCCGTGAGATTAGTCGAGGTGTGTATAAGCTAGTCCAGACATTCACGGATATAAAAAAAAAGTTGATTTACTATTTACCATTAATTTTCTATGGCATATTTTATAAATTTATAGATTAAGAAAAGATATAATGGTCTAAAAATGATTTTTGCAAGATCTAACAAATATGCTAAATTTCTTATAAAATATAAATCTACAGGACATTTAATTAAATTAAAACATGCACAAACATTTTAAATAAAGTAACATGCTAATACTAATTATAAAAAAATATTAACAAATAAAAAAGGTAACAGTATAGCAATTATAGAATAACAATTATAAATCCTTTGAAAAAAAAGTTAAATAAAAGTAAAAAAAAATCAAAATAAAAAATTAAATCAAAATCCAGATATACTTATCTTGTCACATCATTATTTAATTTCACGAATAAAATTATAATAAAGCAAACTTACAAATCTAGATATAGTTTTGATATATAAATTTCGTGTCAGACTTAAACGTATCATATATGTCTTGAGTTGTTTTTAAAATTAAAGAGACTTTAAGAAATTAAGAGTAAATAATAATAATAATAAGAGAAAACTAAAAATAAAGAAAACATGCAGCTGGAGTGGGTGAGAACTTATAGAAGAAAATGCTAGATAATGAAAATGTTATCCAGAATTCTATTATTAATTATTATTAGTGAAAATTTTTAGGATGTTCATAAATTAAATAATAATATTTTATCTATCCTAAAATTTCGAGTCATTGCTATGGTTGATAATTAATTAATTATTTATTATTGATAATTAATTAATTAATTAACTTAATACTTATAATCACTTTATTCTTTAAAAAGTTAGATTCGATATCATTGTTATGGTTGATAATTAATTGATTATTTATTATTGATAATTAATTAATTAACTTAATACTTATAATCACTTTATTTTTTAAAAAAATATTTATAATTAATTTTTAACATGTTTTGTAAATTTATAAATTAAAAAATGGCATAATGTCTAAAAATATATTTTTTAATGTCCTCCCTTTCTAATATAGTATAGATCTTTTTTTTTTTTTGCAATATTATCATTATGGAAATCTTGATGCTGATGTTGAACTCATATACACATAAATGTCGACAGGTTGATAGAAATTTATTACCTTGCATATATGTTTCCTATTTACAAAATAATGTTTTGTTTTAGAATGTCTTTGAAAATTTTGAACAACTCTAACTCAAATTCATTTGTTAAGGTATGTTTGTTATATAAATGATCATTATAATTTTTTTTTTTCAATTTTCAAAGTTAAGTTTACCTTTCTCGCATATTTTATTTTTACTGTCACCTGTTATTGATCGGGGACCTCCTGCAGCTCTGCGCCTCTGGAACCTTTTGTATTCCATATTTCCTTATTTTTATAAGACTAAAACCTAATGAATATTAATATCATTAACACACCAATCATGGAGATATAAATTTCTATTCACGAGAGATCCCAAAGTTTTGACCAATCTCTCTTCAATAATTTTCTATAAAAAAAAATCTCTTCAATAATTAATTAGCAAATAGCAAAAGTGGAAATCTTTTCCACTATCTTTCTTTTCTTGATTTATTATTATTTTTTTTATAAATTATAATTTTCAAGAGTGTTACTGGTGAGAATAGGAATTCGAAGTGTCAACTTTTCAACGGTCGATTTATGCTCCAGTTAATTTTACTTTTAATTTTAATATTTTTAAAAATTGATTTCTTCTTTTTTTTTTTCATTTATAATTATTCGTTATTCACTACTAAAATCTTAGTCAAATTTAAGGGTGAAAATGATAATTAGGACGTATACATCAAAAATTTGTGTGGGGCTATAATTTAGAAAATATTAGAAAAAAAGTCCAAAGCAAGAAGGAAATTAGGGATATTTTATCAATCGTTTTCTATTTACACCCACTCTTTTTCATTAATTTGTCTCGTAGCACATATTTCTTCCCACTAGACTTTCAATTATTAAAATTGTATCGGTTCAATGTTTATAAGCTATTAAAATATTTATTAGAACTTCAACTTTAAACTGTGATTTTATATTAACTGAATTTCATT